AACAATGTATATTGCGTCGAGGAGTGTTAGTAGAAGAAAGTTATGAAGCTTGTATGCAAGAGGTGGAGTGCATAAAACATATTATTCTTAAGCGTGAATAGGCTCGACACGTATCGAAAGGATCTCCATTATAGTACTTTATGCAAGTACGCGATAATGAAAACATTCGAATAGTGGTTGGGGGTTGGTCGAAGGGGTGTGAGAGATAAGGCCTGGAATTGTGGCTGGTGATGGCATGGAAGCTTTGGCATAAACCTTCAAATTCATGGAAAGGATCTATTGAGGTGGAAGAGGTAGTGTTGAGCGCTACGGAAGCCAAACAACCAAACCAACGTGCTATGAGAAATCAAATCAAACGAACGTCGAGAGAAGGCCAAAGGAACCAAATCAATGTCACAAACACAAACAACCAATTTTAACGTGGCTCGGCAAGTTGCCTCCGTCCACAGGGCAAGAAGGGGATAAGGTTTTTCACTAATAGAGAAGAAGAGTACAAACTGAGTTTACAAATCACTCAAACTCACCAATTAATCTCATCAACAAATCTCTAATTCCCTCCAAACAAAACCCTAACCAATAGCTCAGAAAATACCTCTTTTCTGTGCTCCAAATATCCCCAATTTTCTTCTCAATTCTCTCTTCCAATTGTTCCATATATATAGAAATTATAAAATCATAAACATACTAGGAATTCTAAAATAAAAAATAAAAAAATAGGAATCCTAATAACCTATTATCAAAACAGATTAAGAATCATGTTACCAAAATAGATTAGGAATCCTATTAACCTTATGTTACCAAAATAGATTAGGAATTCTAATAACCTCATGTTACCAAAATAGATTAGGAATCCGCTATCCAATAATTCTCTACCTCGGTGAAGTATTCTCAAAACCGAGCCGACACCAATACCAACCAAACGTCTCACTTGTTGTATCCAGTACGAAGTAGAACAAATCCACGACAACAGACTCAATCTACAACAAGTCAAGAACCTAAACGAGAATGCAAACAAACTCCAAATATCGATATCAACTCACCAAACCGGCTGTATCATAAATGATTGCCTATGTATCCTCTTGTTCAAGGAATCAAGCCTAGTTCACCCAAACGGCCTTCAAAGACCCTCAATCAAATAGAAAAGTTTGCAACTCTTCACTAATATCACCAATGGATCTGTAACTGATAGCGCTCCCAATGGCCCTAAACCAAAACAAATCAAACACCTCCACATGAGGTGAACCAATGGCCATATCCAAAACATGTCCACCAGCTGCACTCGAATCCAAAACCAACTCAGCATCTGTATTCAAATCCAAATGATCTCCAAACTGTGTCACCTCAACTAGAATCTCAAATGATGTAGTATGATCTGGAGTATGTGGAGTAATCTTCACCCAATGTGAAGTAGCATCACCCTCCACTCGCTGCGATATCCTAATGATCTGATCAACACCCTCCACCTGCCGAGAGTCAAATGTGACATACCTACTCAGAACAAAATCAAAAGCTCCTAACTGATAATCAAACGAATCTCTGAATCTCAAACGTGCAATCGTATCAAATCTCACATCATCGATGTGACCAAATGCTGGGCAACCAAATATTCGACGCAACCCAAAATCTGAATCAGCTCTACCAGGTGCAAAATCTCCACACGCAGCAGTCGACAGCCTATGACTAAGATGACCCAAATATGTCGAAGCTCCAAAACCTAAACCAATGCTCGACAACCAATACCGATCCCCCTTCAGTAAGGAACGATCCATCAAAACTGTCATCTCATCTTATCGACTCAATGTCTCCACGTCAATAAAGTGTCTCAAACTACCATGAGCTCAGCATAAATGTAAGAAAGAACCCCTACCAAAGCTAGAATGACGGGTTACCTTTCTGCCAATATACTTCTTCCAATTGATGTTGACTTCTAGGACTTCATACCAACGGGACCTGGTTGTAACCCACCAATGCCTAGAACAATCCCCAACTGCGAAAACCAAATACTGATTACCTCCCAATGATGCCTCCTTGGAAGGCCCCCAAATACCTGACTGAACACCACCTAAAAGACCCCTCGATAGATGGATAGATGCCAAACTCCACCTCGGCCTTCTTGCTCATACCAATGTGCTCAAAGGACTTCAATCTGTCTGTCAAAGCACTCATCAACAAACCATGCACGGCATAACTAATCAAATAACTCAGGCTTAACAAATGCCACAGTCTAGCCAAATCCAAAGAAGTCGTCAGCTCTCTATCAAACACCATGCTCCCAATCAAATAATATAAATTATTCCTCCTGACGTCCTTCATCATAATCATGGACCCCAATGTGACCTTCAAACGTGAATCAACCAAGGTCACCCTATAGCCTGCTGCCTCCAAAACTCCAAGTGAAATGATGTTCTTCTTCAACTGAGGAACGAACCTCACTCTAACCAACTTCCGAATCACTCCGTCACTCATCCTAATCCAAACGGTACTGATACCACCAATAGAATATTCATGATCATTGCCCATGAACACGACCTCCCCTATTTCCAACTCCTGAAAGTTGGAGAACCAATCCCTCCTAGGACAAATATGATAAGAAACACACGAATCCAACATCCACTCTGTAAAGTCGACAACACAAACTGACAATAGTGCAGATAACGAGTAGCCCGAAGAATCCAAATCTGGATTATTGCCACTAGCCTTGACAACATTCATCTCTGAAGCTTGAATAGCTTTCCCCTTATTCTTCCTGGCTCGATCAACCAACTTTGGGTATTCAGCTTTCCAATGTCCATCCTCTTTACAAAAGGCACACGGATTCCTACGAACTCTAAGATGTGCCCCTCTAGACCGCGACCTCCTACCACGTTTTGAACTCTTTGCTCTTGCGACTAATGCCCCTGCTACCGGCTCAACTGAAGTCTCATTATCCTCCTTTCGAAGCTGATAATTCACAAGTTCAGCAGTGACCTCATTATAAGAAAGAGATGTCTTCTCATTAATAAGAGTAAGAACAAAGGTCTCATATTCCTCGTCAGGCAAGGAACTTAACAACAACAACGCCTTGTGCTCATCTTAAATCATCACATCTACATTCGCCAAATCTGCAAGAAGCTTCGTGTAGTGGTTCATGTGATCACCAATGGAGGTCCCCTTCTTCAATTGGAAGCGATAAAGCCTCCTCTTCAAATACAAACGGTTCTCTACACTCTTGGTCAAATACTTGCCCTCTAGGATCTCCCAAATCTTCTTAGCCGAAGTCTCATTGATCACATCATATTTTAAATCTTGAGTCACAAGATCTAATCACACCACATGCCGTTCTATTCATCTTTTTTCAAACCTTCTCCTCACTGTTGTCTGGTTTCCCGTCCAACTCCAAAGTATCTTCCAAATTTTGCGCATTGAGCGCATCCAAGACTTCACATCTTCAAAGATCAAAATTGTTTGTGCCATTAAACTTCTCCACATCTATCTTCATAGAGTGGATATTCAAACTTTGGACGGTCTTCACGTCGAAAGTACCCTCCACAACTCCTTCTTTTCAGACCATCTTTCTCAAAGCATCAAAACAAATGCGGAACAAATGAAGAATAGATCCAAAACTGAAAAATAGAGTCTTTACTAAAAAGATCCCACTTTTATTACCAAACGAAGCCCTAGGCGAGCCTCCAAAATGACCTACTCCTCCAAATAGCCCAAGCATAGCCCGAGCTCTCCAAAATGACCTACTCCTCCAAATAGCCCAAGCATAGCCCGAGCTCTGATACCACTTGTTGAGCGCTGCGGAAGCCAAACAACCAAACCAACGTGCTTGATACCACTTGTTGAGCGCTGCGGAAGCCAAACAACCAAACCAACGTGCTACGAGAAATCAAATCAAATGAACGTCGAGAGAAGGCTAAACGAACCAAATCAATGCCACAAACACAAACAACCAATTTTAACGTGGTTCGACAAGTTGCATACGTCCACGGGGGCAAGAAGGGGATATGGTTTTTTACTAATAGAGAAGAAGAGTACAAACTGAGATTACAAATCACTCAAACTCACCAATTAATCTCACCAACAAATCTCTAATTCTCTCCAAACAAAACTCTAACCAATAGCTCAGAAAATACCTCTTTTCTGTGCTCCAAATATCCCCAATTTTTTTCTCATATATAGAAATCCTAAAATCATAAACATACTAGGAATTCTAAAACAAAAAACAAAACAAATTAGGAATCCTAATAACCTATTACCAAAACAGATTAAGAATCATGTTACCAAAATAGATTAGGAATCCTAATAACCTCATGTTACCAAAATAGATTAGGAATCTGCTATCCAACAAGTAGGTCATTTGTGGCAAAATATATTGAGGAGCTCAAAGAGGTGAATTCTCAGACTATGGAGGACAATGAAGAAAAATATGTCGCTTCTTTGCGGTACAACGTTTAGCTAATGAGATTGCTTATTTTTTTAGCTTTGTTTTGCTCGTAGCGAGCCGGTCGACGCTATTTGGTGCGATAAATTGCCATTAACGTTGGCTGGTTTTGTACTTCATCATTTGAAGTCTGAATAAAATCTATTTGTCGTGTGTTGGGCCTGAGTTAATTGGATTATGGTGAATGTTAATTGCTTAAGTCCCTAAATCATTCACGCGCAACTGGGCCTTTCTTGCGACCCAAAACAGCTAAAAATTCAGCACAAATGCATCTATCTTCAAAAGGAATTCCTAGTGGCTGCAGGTTGACAATAACTCAGAGCAAAAGGTTCCCATTAAAAATCCTTGTTAGGCTACGGCCACTTTCCAAATAATAGTAGTAATATTAATAATAAACAAAAATTTAAAAAATGCCATCTATTCTGCGCCGGGGGCTCGTCTGCAGAAGATCCCATCGCTGCTTGGGCTATGATTTGGGCTACTGCGGGATCAGTGGTCCTTTGACAAAACCCCAAGCGAAGCAACCCAAAATCTAAAGGGGTCCCCAGAGGCCAAGGACTTTAAAAGGCTAATAACAAGTCAAACACAACAATTAAAACCCCACAAATACTATATAAGCTCCCTAAGTCCCAACACAACTGAAGACAAATGAGCCCATAATCCTGCAAAAGAGCCACCCACGGGCGTAGAAAAGCCATGAAAGAGTGACTGTGACTCTTGTGAACTCACTCGCTCACCCATCCATCATCACCATCATAAATTCCTTCACGCTCCCTCCCTCTCCCTTCTCATCTCAAAGCGCTCTCCTTTTTCCATTTCATCTCTTATATATGTATATATATATAATGTTCCTTCATGCTCGCAACTCACAGAGAAGAGAAAAGGGAAGAAAAATGAAATGGCTATTCAAACTTCGGCTTCCACTGTTGCTCTGCTTAGTGCCTGGTTTAATTGCAGAGGGGCCCTGGTACGATTACACTGCTTATACTGAGGTAATGCCTCCATTCTAATGCCTCTCTCTCTCTCTCCCTCAGAGATTTCTATTTAGTGCTTGTTTAATCATGAGTAAATATCAAGTGCACCCGGGTTAATGGCGGTAAATGCGCGCCAAATGAACGTAAGTTCTTCGATCTTTGGATTTTGGGATTCGTGCGCGATCCAAAGGTTGACATCCTTTGTATAGGCGCACATTTAATGTCATAGACCGTTCTTACTGGATATTTTCCCCATGCCGAGCTAATTTATGGTGCTTCATTGTATTAATGTAGTATTGGTATCATCTATCACGCGCTTATCTATAGTACCAACTTGGACACAATAGCCAGTGAGACATGAATTGGCTCATTGAAAGATGGGAGGTTGTTGTTGTCTACGTTGTTAAGCAATAAAAAAAACTTACTAAATTATAACATTTAATAACATAATATAAGTAAGGCTAAATATAAGAAAAAACCCCCTTAGCTTTGGACAATTATTGGAAAATCCCTCTTAAATTTCAAATTATCAGAAAACCCCCAAGTATCGGGATTATCAAGAGACCCATCTTAACTTTCTGATCATTTTTATTAGAAATCTCCTTTTAACTTTCAGGTTTTTATCAGAAAATCCTCCTACTTCAGTGGGGTCTTCTTATAAAACCTCAAAGTTAAGGGGGTTTTCTGATAATTCATATATTTAAGGGGGTTTTCTAATATTTTTAAAGTTAGGGGTGGGGTGGGGGTGTTTTCTGGTAATCATCCAAAGTTAAAGAGGCCGTTTTATGATATTTAGCCATTATAATGTCATACCTATTGATAGCACTTAGCTTTACTTTCATTCACAATAGAGCATAGGCATCTAGTAAATGAAAAAGATAGGAAGAAGAAAATGACAATGTGCTGTAGGTGTAACAATTTGCAGCTGTAGATAAGGAGACTGTACTCTTCACTGTCGTGCGAGATGCATGAGAGTCCAAAAGTATTTTGTGACTTATTCATCTCAATGTTGCGGTCAATGTTGGTCCTTTCACCCCCCCAAAAAAAAAGGCAATCCCTTCAAAGATCTAGCTTGGTAGGTAAAATAATAATAACATAATAATAAGAAAATGAAGAGAGTGGTTTCCTGACATTGGTCTCCTAAATTAATCCTTCGAAAACACGCGTTGTTTAAGAGGTAAAAAAATCATCATACGTCATATGAGAGAATTCCCTTACATACAATATTATCAAATCTTAATCAATTGTGGTTATATGAGAGTTTCCATCTGAAACTTTATTCATTTAGTTGAGAACGAGCCAGACCATCGTCATATGAGAGAATCCATTCATATGACAAAGGAATATCCATTATTCTCACATTTTGGAGTTTTTAAATGAATCCCCCAATTAAATCCCGATAGTTATATACAATAGGGCGGTCACCTTAATCCCTTAGTAACCTTATTGGTGGTTACTAATAAAATTTACATCGTTGAAGTTGTCTATTGTTCCTTCATCGATCTTCTTAACAAAAAATTTTGTTTTATAAAATCTTAGAAAAATCGTATAGAAAATGAGGATATATTTGTATAATGGGATAATTTGATGGTGTTAGATCTATTATAGGGTAAAGATAACGGTTTCTAAGCTGAGAACGTACTTGGTACAGCTTATAAGATTTACAAGGACTGATCTAAAAAATAAATGATGCAAAGGACTTACTATAAAATATACCGTGTTTTGAGGGACTTATTGTATAATACCTAACATTTGGAGGACTTACTATAAAATATACAGTTAACTAACGTGTTTGGGCTTCCCAAATCGCGATCATTTTGCTAAAACTGACCGTCTCATTGCAGTGCAAATCTCACCCTGAGGGTCCCCTTTACGGCGGAGGAGTTCTCAATGGAGACTCCGGCGAGGTTCAGGCGGCGTATAACAAGGCGGAGGCTGGGTTCTCTTCGCCGTCGTTTGTACTGTACGATCTCACCCAGAATACTAGATACAGCTTCTCTTGTGAGTCCTTTTCCGCAATTTTCTATATCTGAATTTTATTACAATTTTCCTTGATTGAGGTTATATAATCATAATCACTTATTATATTCATAGAGGGGGGAAAAGCAAAAAAAAAAAAAAAGGACCAACAGGGTAATGAATCCGATAATTCACAAAGTAATAAACATGAAGTGGTAACTAGGTAATAATCATAAAAACTTATTATATTCATAGAACAAAGTAATAAACATGAAGTGGTAACTAGGTAATGAATCCGATAATTCACGGGATAAGCAGACGAATTTAATAGTTCAGGGGGTTAAGGTGGGACCGAAGATAGTCCATAGGGCAAATGCAAAAGAGCTTTGCTACACTGACACAAAATATGGACCAACAGGGGGACTGGTGAGGTGTCCTCCTCTTATTGCATAATGAGCTAGTCATCATTAATGATGGCCAGCTCATTATGCAATAGAAGGGGGCACCTCACATGTCCCCCCTGTTGGTCCATATTTTGGGTCATTGGAGAATTTTTTAACGAAAAATAAACCAATAGATTAGAGAATGTGAAGGGATTGAAAATAGTATTTGATAGTTGAGGAAATAGTCAGAGATGAATTTAATAGTATAGGGCTAAATTGGACCAAAGATAGTCCAGCCGGAAAGCAGAAACAAACCAATTGTTTAAAAGGACTTGTAGGGGCTAAAAATAGTTCAAACGATAAGAAGAAGAAGCAAATTTAATGGCTAAAGGGGGCAAATAGGGTCTGAATCCAACAAATAAATTCATCATTTTTGAGAATCTAACTAAAATAGTCTTTGACAGGCTGGGTGAAAATCAAAGGAGCCGAATCGGCCCTCTTGAAGGCGCGAGTGTCAACAGAGAATTCGACATTGAAATGCATAGGGACAGTGTTGGCTAAGAGTGGCTGCTGGTCTTTTCTCAAGGGTGGTTTTGTTCTGGACTCTCCCTCAAAAATATCATTGCTCTTTTTCGAGGTCTTCCACAATTTCTCATCACTTTTCACTACTCCATAGTATTCAACTTTACTTATATGGGCAGCCCAAACGGTTTTGCCGTTTGGGAACACCTTGACCTCAACGGTTAAAACCATTTGAGCTGAAAAACGACCGTTTAACCAAGCGCTGTTGGGGTTGCATTAGCCCAAACGGTGGTCCAAACAGTCTAGGCAGTTTGGACATTTGGACATTTGTCCAAACTGTTCAAACCGTTTGGGCAACTATTTTTTTTAAACAATACAAAAAACAGTAACCCAAACGGTTCAAACTGTTTGGGAAAGACTTATCCCAAACGGTTAAACGGTAAAGACTTATTCCAAATGGTGCAAACCGTTTGGACACATAGAGTATTCTAAATGGTTCAAACCGTTTGGGACTCTATCTTTGCCCAAACGACTTAAATCGTTTGGGAAGACACCTGTCAGCCGAAAAACTACTTTCTTGTTTTGTTCAACGCCTTGTTTACAATTTAACATAAACATCCCACACAACTACATAATTCAAGATCTCGCAATCAAAATTGAAATAAAAGGAATAAGTCATAAAATGCATTCCCACATAGCAAATCCAAACCCATACGAAATGGAAAACGTCTCTATTAATTTTAAATATATGGCATACAAAATAGATATATTAGTTTCAGATATACGGCATACAAAGTAGATATAATGTTTATGTTTCAAATATCCAAAATAAAACAAGATTTTGCGGATCCGATCGAGGAATTGGCCGGAGAATCTCCTCCCGGGACAAGCCCAAACGCATCAAGTCCGCTAATATCCTAGCAATATCCTCCTTCGGTAAACCCTAAGCTGAACCCTGAGCACTGTGAGTTGTTAATCAGTCCGATTTGGTAGTTGAGTTCAAGTTAGTAGATAGAATTCTAGTTAGAATAGAATACTAGTTAGTAGATAGTTTTCTAGTCATTGGATAAGATTAGAGTTGTAATCTTAATCCTATATATATGTAAACCATATTGATGAGTTAAGAAGAAAGTGAATAAAATTCAGAAAAGTTTCTGCTCTTTGTTTCTGCTCCTTCGCTGCGTGTGTTCTTCAACAAAACAGAGGCTTTGAAAAGCCTGCTGCAGAACACGTTTTCTGCTCCTCTCCTCCTCTGTTCGCTCTCCTCAAAATCAGCCAGGTTACCTGCAGAACACGCCCCTGTTCCAGCTGCACATCTCTCTAAAAAATCAGCCAAAGCCCTCATTGTTTACAGGTTTCGTATTGAGTTTTCAGGTCTGATTTCTGGTCGATCCTATAACAAAGCCAACAAGTGGTATCAGAGCGGTGTATGCCTAAGTACCAACCAAGATCTGAAGAGATGACGAGTTCGGAGAAGATGACGACCAAGGTGGGTTCGCTCACTCTTCAATACCCGACGTTATCGAGGGATAACTATGCTTCGTGGGCAATCAAGATGAAAGTCTACATGAAGGCTCAAGACGTGTGGGATGCCATTGAGCCCGCGGCAGGCGCGTCCGTGGAACACAGGAAGGATCAGATGGCATTGGCGGCCATCTACCAGGGGATTCCTGAAGAGACTTTGATGGTGATCGCAGAGAAGCAAACGGCAAAAGAGGCATGAGAGACGTTGAAAACAATGCATCTAGGAGCGGATCGTGTGAGGAACGCGAAGGTGCAGACCTTGAAGTTCGAGTTCGAACTTCTCCGGATGAAGGAGAATGACAACATCGACGATTTTTCGACGAAGTTGACAGGAGTCGTCAACAAGATCCGGGCTTTAGGCGGCGAGATGGAGGAGAACTACGCCGTCAGAAAGCTACTTCGGGTGGTACCAGAGAGATTCCTTACTATCGTCTCCACGATTGAACAGTTCGGGGACATCGACGACATGACTCTCGAGGAGGCGATCGGGCGTCTTAAAGCCCACGAGGAAAGGGCACATGTTTTTCGAAACAACGTCGACGATCACCTATTGTTGACGCATGCGGAGTGGCAAGCAAGGAGCAAGAAGAACGGCGGAGGCTTCCTCTCAACAACTACACCCAATGATGGCAGCGGACGAGGACGAGGTCGCGGGGCCGGTCGTGGGCGTGGCCGTGGCCAAAGAGGCCGAGGCGGACAGCAGCACCACGGCAGCGGGCAGCACAACCTTGATGATGGCTATGTTAGAGGAATCGTCAAGTGCTATTTTGCTTAATGAGGAGAAGGTGGTGCTGGATTTACTTACAGCGGGGGAGGCACAAGTTGCCAACGACGTTTGGTACCTCGACAACGGGAGCTTCTAGGAGTAAGGGACTTGGAATCTCGTCCAGATTAAGGGGGAGAATGTGAGTTGTTAATCAGTCCGATTTGATAGTTGAGTTCAAGTTAGTAGATAAAATTCTAGTTAGAATAGAATACTAGTTAGTAGATAGTTTTCTAGTCATTGGATAAGATTAGAGTTGTAATCTTAATCCTATATATATGTAAACCATATTGATGAGTTAAGAAGAAAGTGAATAAAATTCAGAAAAGTTTCTGCTCTTTGTTTCTGCTCCTTCGCTGCGTGTGTTCTTCAACAAAACAGAGGCTTTGAAAAGCCTGCTGCAGAACACGTTTTCTGCTCCTCTCCTCCTCTGTTCGCTCTCCTCAAAATCAGCCAGGTTACCTGCAGAACACGCCCCTGTTCCAGCTGCACATCTCTCTCAAAAATCAGCCAAAGCCCTCATTGTTTACAGGTTTCGTATTGAGTTTTCAGGTCTGATTTCTGGCCGATCCTATAACAAAGCCAACAAGCACTAGAAGTAGGAGTATGAGTAATCGAAAAAAGACGAGCAGAAGGTGATGGATTAATATAAGGTTGAGAAACTGGAGCATGAGGAGTTAACGATGGTGGCTCAGTGGAAGGCTGAGCAGCCGGAGCATGAGGGAAAGAAGTGGCTTAGATGGCTATGCAGCCAAAGTAGGACGAGCGCTCTGAGAATTCGCTTGTAAAGCAATATGGATGTATCAGTATGTGCGTTATATGTGTGTGTGTGTGTGTGTGTGTGTGTGTGTGAGCGTGTGTGTGTGTTAGTATATATGTATATGGGAGTGTATATATGTGTGCATGTATCTTTCAATGTGTGTGTGACTCAATTAGAATGTGTTCGGTTTTTATTGGATTATAGTTCAGTTTGCTTGCTGCAATCCAATCTACTGTCAAACTCACAAATAACAAGCTCTTTCAAAGGTACAGATTATTACTATAATTTTGAAATAGTCCATCCCATTCAAACTGTATAATTATCAAAAAGTTATCTGTACACTAGCACTAGCTTCTTTCAAGTCTCAGTAAATATTGCGTCTTCATTAGCACAAAACACATGGATTAAGAGCTACAAGCTTCTTCATTTTTCAATGAAAAGCTTCCAGCGGCTACAAGACAAGGATGATTATAATTACTCTAAAATGAGATGTCATGCAACATGCAAAGTTTAGGAAACTATACTTTCTTTTATACCTTATTGACTGTGTATGTGTATGTGTATGTGTATGTGCGTGTATGTGCATATCTGAGTGTACCTGTGTATGTGTATATGTTAGCATACATACCATCTGGCTGCTAAGCCAATGCAACTAAGCCCTAAGCTCGTCCATCTCATATAGCCAAGACCTAAGATCCGCCACCTCGCAAACTAGCTCTTGAGTAGTATCGACTTCCTAAATGGAGGATGCCCTCAAATAAGATCTGGGGGCGCCAATGCCCAGACCTCTCTCATCGTCACCGTGATGCCCTCCTTGCATGTAATCTAATACCTAGGTGAAAGCGGTTGTATTGTCCACTGTGATGGAATCGACCCTTCATCTTGATGAGGCGATGTCCCGATCCTACATGACATAAAGAATTCAAGCATAAGTAAAGAATACATATGTAGACATTTTTAAGAAAAATCTCTTGGAAATAGCTAAAATCTTCACACTTACACAATAATCCTTAGTGGATGCGTCCATACATATAGTCGCATGTGCTCTTATCCGCTGATGAAAAATGATCACCCAGATAGAGTTTCAGAAGCGTAGGTGTATTTCCAACCTCAATGATTTCACCTCTCTGCAATTCACCAAAAATATATATGTATAATCGATCATTTTATTAAGAAATATATAATATGGATTTTAAATAGCCTTTATAAGAAAATTTACCAATTTCTCAACCGCCCGACTCATGCTCCTTGAGCCACCTATATAGGTTGCTCTACCGTTCTTGTTTGATGCCTAGTTCTCAATATTACGTGTTGCCCCTGTCTGCACATCAATGTTTGATTTAAATTGTTAATCCAACAACGACAAAGCCAATTCATATGAGATACACGTAGAAGAATGTGTGGATAGCAAACAAATAAGGGTGAGCTAAACATATGTACATATTAACAAAATATACCACTAAAGTAACTTAGAATGTTAACTTTTCAAGAGCGGCGTTAAACTACAAATTTTTAGAATGGTTACCTTTTTTTTTGTTTTATATACGCCTTAGAAGTTGTAGGAATATCTACAAGGATTTTACTATTCAGATCATTCCTAACCATATGTACAGATCACTGGTGATAAAAATCGTATTGATATCTTAGCTGCAAGTGCCTCATTACAACCCTTCTCAGTTGAGCAGTGGGAGATGCACCGTCAAGATACTATAAGAACGGTAGAGTTCTGATTTTAATTTCTTTTTTCCACTATAGTTTATACATTTTATTTAAATATGTGACATCACCGAGATCTTTTTATGCAGAAAAGGAAGCGAGCAGTGGCTATTCATGTATCGGACACAAAGGGGAATCAAATCACAGGAGCATCCGTTGTGGCTNCTCGGCAACTATCTAAAGACTTCCCATTTGGTTCTGCAATAGCCAAAACAATCATAGGGAATTCTGCTTATCAGGTAATCAGCTGAGCTCTTCCAAAATCCAGTTATCTACTCTCGGGAAACGAGGGAAAAAAAAAGAAAATAAATGGGAAATAGAAAACACAACATAAACAGATCCTTTATCTGAAATTTTTTGGAGTCAGCTATGTGAATCATATTCTTCCATTTAGTGCTGTTGAGGCTATAGCTTGAGTTATAAGCATTATCATAACCTTTTTTACATGCATGATTTGCATTCCATAAAGTTCTTTTTGGCCCGACTTTTTATCCTCCTTGCTCTGTTAATTATAATCTTATCAATAATCCTGATCGGAGCATTTAATAGCCTTTTTTAATATGACAAACCATTTATTTATAGAGAAATAGCAAAAACTAAATTATTTAAGGTTCTTTATGCATTCCGTATAGGGATAAAGTTAGTGTAGTGCCGAACAACAGCGATATGCTCTGATACCACTTGTTGTGACGGACGGCGGCATCGAGGAACAAAAACAAACGCCGATCAAAGAAGGCAAAAAACAACCAAATATCAATGCACAAACCCAAACACCAATTTTAACGTGGTTCGGCAATTGCCTACGTCCACGGGGCAAGAAGGGGGAGGGTTTCCACTAATAGAGAAGGAGAGTAAAAATTGAGATTACAAATCGTTTAAACGAACCAACTAATCTCACCAACAAATCTCTCAACCTCTCAACCAATAACCCTAACCAATAGCTCAGAAAGATCTCTCTTTTCTGTGCTCCAAAATCCCCAAATATGCTCCTACAAAACCCTCAAATTGTATTGGTATTTATACCAAAACAGAAACCCAAACAGACTGCAAATAGGAACCTAAAATTTCCAAAAAACCCGTCGTAAGTCGACTTATCAGTCTGCATAAGTCGACTTGGCAGAGCGAAAAATGACAACTGGAGAAGAGTTCATAAGTCGACTTAATAGGTCTGATAAGTCGACTTGCCAGAGCCCAAAACCAACAATCCACAGCAGATCGTAAGTCGACTTACGACACAAATATAAGTCGACTTACCATAAGTCGACTTATGCCTGTGCATGAGTCGACTTATGACCAAAAATCTGATTTTTCAAGTTATTCTCCATAATTCTCCACCTCGGCGAAGTTTTCCCAAAACTGAGCCGACACCAACCAAACAAATGCCTCACATGTTGAGACCCAAATGGGAGTGCGAACACTCACCCCAAATGTCGATGTCGCTCACCAAATCGGCTGCATCATAAAGACTGCCTACGTATCCTCTTGCCCAAGGAATCAAGCCTTCACGTAGTTCACCCAAACGACCTCCAAATGCCCTCAAACAAATAGAAAAGTATGCAACTCTTCCCCAATATCGCCGACGGATCTGCAACTGATAACGGCCCCAAACTGATACAAATCAAACACCTCCATATGAGGTGAACCAATGGCCGTATCCAAATCATGTCCACCAGCTGCAACCGAATCCAAAACCAATCCATCATCTGCATCCGAAATCAAATGATCCCCAACCTGTGTCAACTCAGCTGGAATCCCAAATGACGCAGTATGATCTGGAGTACGTGGAATAATCTCCACCCAACGTGGAGCAACATCACTCTCTACCTGCTGCGATATCCAAACGACCTGATCAACACTCTCCACCTGCCGAGAGTCAAAAGTGACATACCTGCTCAGAACAAAATCAGAAGCTCCCAAACGATAATCAACTGAGCCTCCGAACCCCAAACGCGCAATCGGATCAAATCTCACATCCTCGATGTGACCAAATGCTGGGTATCCAAATATCCGATGCAACCCAAACTCTGAAGCAGCTCCACCAAATCTAATAACTCCTAATGCAGCAATTGGCGACTTGTGACTAAGATGACCCAAATATGTCGAAGCTCCAGAACCAATGCTCGACAACCAACGCCGATCCTCCTCCAGAAAGGAACGACCCATCAAAACTGTCATCTCATCTCGTCGCCTCAATGTTTCCTATCCAATGAAGTGTCTCAAATTATCGTGAGCTCGGCACAAATACAGTAGGTCCCTCTTGTACCTCCCTCTACAACCAGAATAAAGTACCTTCACCTTACTGCCAATACACTTCTTCAACTGTTGTTGACTACTAGGACTTCAAAACCAACGAGATTTGGTTGCAACCCTCAAATGCCTAGTACAATCCCCAACATAGGAAACCAAAATACTAATTTACCTTCCAATGATGCCTCCTTGGAAAGCCCCCAAATACCTGATTGAACACCAAATAGAAGACCCCTCAATCATCAAATAGAAGTGCCAAACTCCATCTCGGTCTCCTTGCTCATACCAATGTGCTCAAAGGACTTCAATATACAGGTCAAGGGCACTTCTCAATAATCCAATGCACCGTATCAACAAACAAATAACCCATCTTCAAATCCTTCTATCTCGGCCAATTATCTCAAAGCACCAACAAATGAAGAATAGATCCAAACTGATAAAGGAGAGATTTTTACCTCCAATTGAAACCCTAATAAGAGTCTCCAAACGATCTCACCCCGCACGACGGTAACGAGATCCACAAATAGGAAAAATCCCACATTTATCTCCAAACAAAGCCCTCGAAGAGCCTCCAAAATGATCTACTCCTCCAAATAACCCAAGCGCCAACAAACCAATACGGAACAAACGAAGAATAGATTCAAAACTGAGAAAAGAAAGAAGTTTTATCAAAAAGATCCCACCTTTCTCACCAAACGAAGCCCTAGACGAACTTTCAAAGCGATCTACTCCTCCAAATAGCCCAAGCGTAGCCCGAGCTCTGATACCACTTGTAGTGCCGAACAACAGCGATATGTTCTGATACCACTTGTTGTGATGGACGGCGGCGCCGAGGAACCAAAACAAACACCGATCAAAGAAGGCAAAAAACAACCAAATATCAATGCACAAACCCAAACACCAATTTTAACGTGGTTCGGCAATTGCCTACGTCCACGGGGCAAGAAGGGGGAGGGTTTCCACTAATAGAGAAGGAGAGTACAAATTGAGATTACAAATCGCTCAAACGAACCAACTAATCTCACCAACAAATCTCTCAACCTCTCAACCAATAACCCTAACCAATAGCTCAGAAAGATCTCTCTTTTCTGTGCTCCAAAATCCCCAAATATGCTCCTACAAAACCCTCAAATCGTATTGGTATTTATACCAAAACAGAAACTCAAACAGACTGCAAATATGAACCTGAACTTTCTAAAAAAACCCGTCGTAAGTCGACTTATCAGTCTGCATAAGTCGACTTGGCAGAGCGAAAAACGACAACTGGAGAAGAGTTCATAAGTCGACTTAACAGGTCTGATAAGTCGACTTGCCAGAACCCAAAATCAACAATCCATAGCAGATCGTAAGTCGACTTACAACACAAACATAAGTCGACTTACCATAAGTCGACTTACCATAAGTCGACTTATGCCTGTGCATGAGTCAACTTATGACCAAAAATCTGCTTTTTCAAGTTCTTCTCCACAGTTAGCAGGGAGCCTTCTGTGAAAGGCGCGTATGGTCATAAAACAAAGAGTCAATTGCAGACACCCAATACTGTAACTATTTTGAGCTGACCACTCTGTAGTTTCATTGTTGCAGATAGACCCCCTGTCTAACTTTTTTGACTCTTTCACTCACAGAGAAATTCTGGAAGATATTGCCTGTGAGTGGAATTAGAGAGTCTATCGATCTAAGGGTAAAATAGAGAGAGAAAAATTAACTCAAGTGGTCTATGTTCAACAATAAAACTACAATGTTAGAAAGTTTAAAACAACGATGCCTCAGGGGTTTTTGTTCAATTAACCCTAACACACAAATATATGACCTTAAGCGAGACCCTAACAAATTACAGATTAAGATGTGTTTTTTTCTAACTTTTAGATAGCTGTTCACAACTGATAGCCATTTCTCTTCTTACTTTCTTCAGGCTTGGTTCATTGAGCGTTTCAACGCTGCAGTGTTTGAGAACGAGCTCAAATGGTACGCTACGGAGCCCAATCCAGGCAAGCTAAACTACACTCTAGCCGACCAAATGCTAGACTTCATCCACTCCAACCAAATCCTTGTCCGAGGCCACAACATTTTCTGGGAGGACCCAAAGTACACCCCTCCGTGGGTCCGCAACCTCACCACCGACGCCCTCAGATCCGCTGTCAGCTCCCGGATAGAGAGCCTAATGTCAAGATACAGAGGAGAGTTTGTGCACTGGGATGTGAGCAATGAGATGCTTCATTTTGATTTCTATGAAGACAGGCTTGGACCTAATGCTACATTGGAGTTTTTTGAGACGGCGCAAAAGGCAGACCCATTGGCTACTATGTTCATGAATGATTTCAATGTTGTTGAGACCTGCGAGGATGTGAATTCGACTGTGGATTCTTATGTGTCGAGGTTGAAGGAGTTAAAGAGCGGAGAAGCTATTTTGGAGGGGATTGGATTGGAGGGGCATTTCAGTAAGCCAAATGTTCCTCTGATGAGGGCTGTGTTGGATAAATTGGCGACGCTGGAGCTTCCAATTTGGTTGACAGAGATTGATATTAGCAAAAACTTTGATCAAAATATGCAGGTGAGTGATTTTCATACCCTCTTTATTTTCTATGCTTAAATACTTACAGTAAATATGAAATTTATGCTTAGTTGCTCACAACAATGACTTTGATCTCCTTATGGACTTTGATTTGCTAACACTGAAGCTTATTAGATGACAATTTGTAGAGAATCACTTGGGCCTGACTTAATCTATTTAGTTTGTCTATGAACCAAGCTTGCTTTTAAGATCTTAGGGGAAAATGTCAATGTGCAGTGAACTAATTTTCTAGCGGGCAATACGATTTTGCTTCTCATAAATGCATTAAGTAGCAAGTTCTTTAAGGGGGGAAATTGTGACTGAAAATTAGTAACAATCACTGATATTAATACTTCAAATGATATTTCAATTTGAACGCAATTTCAACAATTTCTACCTTAGACTGGCTAGCAACTTTTCGTTATTTCTATTTTTCAATGAATAAGCATACCTGTAAATGTGTTCTGGAAAACAAAGACAATGATAAGTGATATATAAATTTTTTTTATTTATCATTTACAAATGCGATTGGAAAAGTTAGGGGGACTATTCAATTTGAGTATGTACAAAAGAGTAGCGCGGACATTGTTCATATTACAGCATAAAATAGATGCTAAATAAATAATCCCATTCCTCTTGAGCAGACTCCTTTCCCATTCGGTCCTAAGATTACTTAATGCTAATTTTATATTGCTTTATATCTCATTCAAGCAAATACAACAATTGTAACCGAAACATGCGATTTCTACCAATAATTAGAACATAAAATAGACTTAGAGCGACTCCTTTTTTGTCTTGTAGTCTCACAAATTTTTATGCTAATTCCTTTTATTAGAATAATGGTGGGTATTTCACATCATTGTCGTTAAAAAAAGTTTGATGAAATATTTCTAGCTACATAGAAAAAAATGTCTCCATATCTTACGAAAGTTAACAGCAATGAAAAACAAAAGAGAGTCACAATGTTGTTGCCCTTAAAAATGGTCTTGATAGCATATATTCCCTTTCTTTTCCTGAAAGCAATTTGGACCAGTGAGAAATAATCAATAGTACAATATGGTACTTCGAAATAAAAAAGATGTTTGAGGCATTATTAAGTACACCATCAAAGTAGTTCATATAACAAACCTTCTTTACGTATTTTTGAATATTTCACGAGATAATCTTTACATTTTGTGGCATTATTTGCTTTTTCCAGGCTATTTATCTCGAGGAAGTTTTGAGAGAAGGCTTCGCCCACCCATCAGTAAACGGCATAATGCTATGGACTGCGCTCCATCCAAATGGGTGCTATCAAATGTGCCTCACAGACAACAATTTCGTCAATCTGCCTGCTGGAGACGCCGTCGACAAACTTTTACAGGAATGGCAAACTAAAGAAACCTCAGGGATAACCGATAACCGCGGTGTTTACAGTTTTAATGGGTTTTTAGGGGAGTATACGGTAGTTGCTCGTTATGAGAATAGATCGGTGGAGGCTACACTGTCATTGTTTAGGGGAGATGAGACTCAGCATTTGAACCTTCAACTTTGATGGTTGTTCTTTTTTATTCTGAGAATAGAGAACTTGAGGGCATATTTGGAGCAAATTTTGTTTCATCCAGTGAAGTATACAAGGGTGTATAAGCAGATGTCATCGAAATCTGCAAGGAATCTAACATGAATCTTCATTTCACTTAGGCATTCTGTTTTTTGTAGCTGCGGATGTTGCATCAAACTCTTACTAATGAAATTCAGGGAGTTATATGCACATTTTTCGTTTCGTCTTCTTATTTTTAAAGTTGGTCTTATATTTGAAATCTCTTGCAACTCAATCTTCTGTTTTACTTGTGAGGTAATGGAGAGGGGAAAAAAACTTACCATATGTATTCTTAGAATTGGAGGGATAAGCTGTGAGATAATTTTTTATAGTGTTAGTCCATTGGAATTAGAACTAGAATAAAATTATACAACGTTATTAACAAGAGCTGGATAAAACGTAGAATTGGGATAATTGTAAAAATTTATTCCACTTTTTGTCTGATTTTTATATAGAAAAGAGAGAGTTTTAAGTCTCTCAAATCGTCCCAAGTTTTAAGCTAGTACTGCTTAGTAAAAAACTAGAACTTTGTTACTTACTTTATTTTATTATTTTTCATATTTTATTTCTTCATCATCTTCAAACCACACTATAAAATTAGACCACATATCTTCTTACCGTTCCCTTCTATTTAATGTCATTTTTTATTTTTTTTATTAAATATTTGAATTGTATAATTAATTTAAATTTAAACATTACAAAATTCATGTTTTATTAAAAATTAATTAAAATTGAAAGATGATGGAATGATGTCTAGTAGATCGAGAAAGAAAGAGGAAAAAAGGCAAAACTATGTTTTTTAATTTATATTAAAATAATAATTCCAAAAAAATAAAAAAGTTACAAATAATAATAATAATAATAATAATAATATCTTATAGTCTATCTAATAGTTCTTCAAGATTAATTAATACTAAAATAAATAATTAATAATAATTTTTAAAATGTATAAATAGTAATATTATCATCAAAGTACATAGCTTATATGCTTATTGATTTCATACTAACAATTGTCCCACTAAATATCATGTTTTAAAAAACTACTTCCAATTATCCCATTAAAATATCCCACATTAAAAAAATTATCACATACTAAAAAATGTCCTACTTCTATAAAAAATGTTCTAGTTGACTAACACCTCCTAAGAGGATTTTGTAGAGCCGGCATTTGTCATTGGTTATGGTGGTTGTTATTGTTGCGCACGCCTATGCGGAAGCGTGCTCGCACACCGAACGAATCTGTGATCACGGGAGAAGAGAACCAACCACACATGAGCACAATTCAAACCAAATACGACAAATCAAACCAAACACAGAGATATACGTGGTTCAGTAATTTGCCTACGTCCACGGGAAGAGGATGAGGAGATTCCACTAAATCAATGAGAGTACAAAGGGTTACAATCTCACAAAATCACTCACACAAATCCTAAACAAAATCTCTCAACTTGCTCACAAGTTCTCCCTTTCAATATGCTCAGTACAGTCTAAAATCTCTGATAAGAAACCTTAGAAAATCGTGTTTCAATTTATATCAAAACACAAACCCAATGCGAACAGGAAACCAAACTCAGGCCCAGCCCGACTCGCGGTCGACCGCAAAGACACGTGCGGTTGACCGGACAGAACGACAAAGACTGAAAACATTACAGGGTTTGACCGGTCGACCGCCGTGCCAATCGCGGTCGACCGCCGTGCCAATCGCGGTCGACCGTGAAAAGTCTAGAGACTTTTCCAGCTTGCGTGCACGTTTGCGGTCGATCGCCGCGTCACTTGCGGTCGACCGCTGGAAGTCCAAACCTATTTTCTACCGTTTTTCCTGTATTCTCATCAGTTATTTGTATAAGGATGTAATAGAAATATATTATGAATGGAAATTTTATTGCCATTAGAAATAAATTTATTAATTTGTATGTTATTTGTTTTGGGGGAGTGAAACTGGTTACTAACATGTTCGCTTTTTTTACTAATTAAAAATTTCAAAAGTAATTTAATTCAGAAAACTATAATCATCAATTGGAGTCAGCTTGTATCTAACCCCAATAGATGAATGTAGTAAAAATAAGGGTAAAATTACACTAAAAACCACCAATAGCTTTATGCATTTTGTAGTAAACGCCCAACAACTTTCAGAATTGCACTAAACCCCTAATAACGTTTTTAGAATTGTAGTGAACTCCAAATAAGTAAACCCCCATAAATTAGAACCAAAAAACAACACAAAAATGCATTTTGAAAGATATCGGAGGTTTAGAGTAATTAACCCAAAAGATATTGGATGTTTTGGAAAGCTGAAAGGTCCTTGGGGGTTTAGAGTAATTTACCCTAACAAATAACCCAAGATGATTTTCGAAAAGATTTTTTTAGATAGTTAGCAAAGTAAAACATTACGAGTTCAATGCACCCTCCTGTCCTTCTCCTAAACACAAAGCCATGAAATCATTTCATCTTTAAATACATCGAGAAACATGATTACCTAACTCTTGTGAAGCATCAAATACAATTATTTTTTCATTTATATCTTATCTTCGAAGATAACAAAAGACACATAAAATAATGATCACCGTAGTTAGCAAACTCTAACCCAGGCCAGTTTCTCCTCACGTCACACCCTTCGCCTCAACCAATACCAACCGGCCACGTACCCTCCGCCCATGTCCACCGTCCATTCCTCCACGCTGTCTCTCACAACCCCATCTCAACCGTCCACTCCTACAGAAATCCCACAATTTAAATACCCAAACCCCCGATCCTGGAAGCCCTCAAACTGGCGATAGCGAAATGAGGAAGTGGGCGCTCCCTTCTGCTCTCCTGCTCCTGATTCTGCTCTCAACTCTCCCCGATCAAGGTAAATCTAGGGTTTTTGTTGATCTCTCTAGGGTTTCCGATTGAGCTAGGTTTTGAGCGGCTGTGTTTGGATCTGAAGGTCGGAAGATACGAGCGAACGCAGAGGAGAGCGACGGAGATGAGGTCGTGGATCCTCCGAAGGTCGAGGAGAAGATCGGGGGTGTCAACCATGGACTGTCCACCGATTCTGATGTCGTCAAGAGGTGCCGATCTTGGTTTTTTTTTCTTCTTTTTTTTTGTGGACGAAATGGATCGGATTTGGCTCGAATTTTGTTGGTAATTAGTTAAGTTGAGTAATTAGTGGGATGCGTAACTATTATCGTTGGTGGGAGTTTGTGGATCTTGTTAACTTACTCAGGATATGAAACATTTTAAACGGAGTTACGAAGATTTGGTACCTTAATATCTACTTAAAAAATATTGCATTTTTATCGATGTAACTGATGTCTGAGCACTTAAGTAGATCTCGCTAATTTACGTATAAATACATCAACTTTTAGGTTTTCCTGAAATCTTCAGGGTTGGTGAGGTTGATGTTACGTTGATGGTTGATCATGTCAAATGTATGAATTGGTGAAAATCTGGCAAATGTGTATACTTAAAATATTGCATTTCCATCCATGTAACTGATGTCTCGATGGCTTGAGTTGTCGTTGGGGAGCTCAAACTATTGCAGTAGTCCCTGTATTTCTTGTTGAACTTTATTTTAATTATATCATTTCTTCGTTTAAAAAAAACTTTAGAGTAATCTAACGAAGGATACCGAATTATGCTAACTAAGCTAGTGAATGTGGTGAAAAAACCCTGAAGAACATGGTTAGCTAAGCCGCCTTAGCAAAAATCTTTTGAAAAAGTTAAACCTTTTGAAGAAGGTTACTGGAATTTGGTGTTACAGTTAAAGAGTTTCTTATTGGTTAATAACTTGTTAAACGTATAAGAAAATGTAATCGTTTTGGCTGAAATTCCCAAACATTTGCAAAGTTTTGGTCAAGCATTATCCTTGGATGTCTTTTAACAGAAAAGGTATATACTAATGCTTACCTTTTGTTTATTGATTTATTTTCAGAGAGTCGGAGTCGATCTCTAGGAAGTCCCTCCGTAGTAACGCGGAGAAGTTTGAATTCCAGGCTGAGGTTTCTAGACTGATGGATATAATTATCAACTCTCTCTACAGCAACAAAGATATTTTCCTGAGAGAGCTTATCTCTAATGCCTCAGATGTAAGCAGATCTTTTTGTAGTGCTTAGCAGAACTCTGTACTGAATATTGAATTGTCTAACTTACTACATTTGCATTTTTATTTAGGCATTGGACAAGATCAGGTTCCTTTCTCTCACTGATAAGGAAGTCTTAGGAGAAGGCGATAACACAAAGCTTGAGATCATGGTTTGTATAAGCAAAGCGCGCCCTGAAATTTCTTATATTTTGTGAAGATTGCATGGGCTTAGATCCCTTTTACTAATTTCCTCCTTTTGGCCTGCTATTCAGATTAAGCTAGACAAGGAAAACAAGGTCCTTACTATTCGGGATCGGGGTATTGGGATGACAAAGGAGGATTTGATCAAGAATTTAGGAACCATTGCAAAGTCGGGAACTTCAGGTACTATCAAAAACGTTTTCACTATTTTGTCTGTTCGAGACTTGAAAACTAAGATTAATATGCATTATTTCTGTTTTATGCAGCTTTTGTGGAGAAAATGCAGACAGGAGGTGATCTTAATCTCATTGGGCAGTTTGGTGTTGGGTTCTACTCAGTCTATCTAGTTGCGGACTATGTTGAAGTCATAAGCAAACACAATGATGACAAACAGTAGGACTTTTGTTATTCTCTTTGCATTTGTTGAGTGCTGACTTTTTTTTATATATTTTGTATTATTTCTGATCAAGTCATACTCACCTTTTCAACATTGTTTTTACTTTTTAGATATGTTTGGGAATCTAAGGCGGATGGGGCCTTTGCAATTTCTGAGGATACATGGAATGAACCTTTAGGCCGTGGAACAGAGATCCGTCTCCATCTTCGAGATGAAGCCAAAGAGTATCTGGATGAATTCAAGTTGAAGGTTAGTGTGTTTTGTTGTGTCATCCGTCTTTTTTCTACTCAATTTACAATAATTTCCTTAGGTCATTCTTTGTCACAGATATAACTGGTGTGTCTTTAGGTCATCTTTAGTAAAATATCTAAGTTTCCATATTGTTTATCCTTTGTTATACTAAATCCTCTAGTAGCATATTTTTCTCGTGTGCTCCTTATCTTTCAACATTCAATTTATAAGCTTTTTTTCTGTAATATGTAATCTTCTCGCTCAAGTTGTTTCTGATGCTTAATTTTCTAACTTCGAGGGATTGTGTTTGGTTTGAAGGCTCTGATTATATTTCCTTTTTTTATTGAGCACGTCTTTTTAGTGCTTTGCACCTTTTTCTGTTGTATTTCGCCCATGCAAATGAAATATTTTAAGCTCACTTTACAACATTACGTACTCCTGTGGTTATTAGCGTGCTGGCTTTTGAAGTTTCTTGTGCATCATTTATGTTCTTCTCATTTAAAGCTTAGTGTTAACTTCAGATAAGAACATTCAACATCCTTTGATATATCATTTGAGTGTCGGAGGTAATCTTATTGTTGAGTTATTTAGATAGATTAGGCTAATTAGTTAATATTGTAAGGGCCTATTTGTAAGAGTGCATTAATATAAAGGGTACCTCTTTGTGAGAAAAGGTAACCCTAATTTTCACCCCAAAACTCATCATGGTATCAGAGCCATGACGGCGGTTCTCTAATCCTCCCAGCGAGCTTCTGAGAAGAACCGACGTCGTTGCCGTCTATCCCTCCGTCGCCTCCGCCGCCATCGACCTCGCTGTCAATAGATCCGATCCCAACTTCAAGCGCTGTCAACCGATCCCTCCGCCGCCTCTCGCCTCTAATCCTTCAAAGTGAGTCACCGCTGTCGCTGAGCGCCTCTCGCTGACTCACCTCCGACGAAGCCCGACGAAGACGGAGATCCAGATCTCAAGATGACGAAGAACCGCCGTCGCGGACTCACCTCAGACGAAGAACCGACGAGGCCCGACGATTAGCCACTGCCGGCGATCCCATCGTTGGCAGCCTCGATCGAGAGCAGAGTAGTGACGTGCGGGCGAAGTGACAAGAAGACGAAGAGGGGAAGCGGTTCAAGGGGTCGTACGAAAACGCGAGGGCGAAGAAGGAGAAGAGGATCGAGAGGATCAAGGATATGGTCGAGGTCCCCAGGGTTAGGGTTTGTTTGCTCCGTCTTCGCCGCTTCAGTATGATTGTTTTTTTGCTTTTTGATGGATCGCCGCTTCGGTATGTTTGTTTTTTATGGATTTCTTTGCAGATTGGAGTTTGGTCTTGAGAACTTTTCTGGTGTTGAGAGTGGGATCGTGGTTAACTGTGAAGTTTGGTCTTGTTACACAGAGTGGCATCGTGGTTAGTGGAGATAAGGGCAGTTACTGTGTTACAAAGAGTGGAGTTTGGTTGGAGATAAGGGCAGTTACACAGAGTGGCATCGTGGTTACAAAAAAAAGAAAAAGAAAAAAGAAGGGTGTGTAATTGTTGCTGATTAGTAATCTGTATTAAAAAAAAAGGAGAGGTTCTTGATTTGTAATAGTTATTTAGGTTCCCTCGACAAGTCAGTCCTAGAACTGATGAGAGAAGGAGAGGTTCTTGATTTGTAATAGTTATTTAGGTTCCCTCGACAAGTCAGTCCTAGAACTGATGAGAGAAGAGCTGATATCTCACTTTGTTGAGCGACAAGTCAGTCCTAGAACTGATGAGAGAAGAGCTGATATCTCACTTTGTTGAGATATCTTGCTTCTGATTCTTGTTTCCTTGGTGAAACAGGAATTCTTGTTGATCTATCTATCTTGTTGTACTGTCGAAGTGCTGTCGGATTTTTTTTTCATTGCGCACCACAAGAATACAAGTTGGATCGATGACAAAGACTAGAAAAAATCCGATGGAGGAGATCATCAAGAAGTTGAACAACCTGAGGGTATTCCAGATTCAGAAGGAGATCAGCGGTATAGTCCAGGGAGAGAGGACTGTACAGGAGTACGCCACAGAGCTGGAACGCTTGTGGCTCGATCACGATTACTTCTCGCCCCTAGCGAGCTGCAAGGACTCTGAGTGCAAGGAGCGCGAGGCCTCTTTGCAGAAGAGGACTATGTCGTTTCTTCGAGGTTTAGCTCCAGCGTATGAGCAAAGGACGACATTGCTACTAACCCAGACGAAGTTCCCACCACTGGAGAAGGCAGTCTCGGCCATGATACAGGAGGAGAGTCGTATCAGGCTACGATCTGGGATAGGTGGACTTAGAGGGGAGAAGTCTGCACTGGTGGTATCCAACCCGGATAACACTAGATTCAGAAGGGAGACTAGGCAGTGTTTTAACTGCGGAGAGGTAGGGCATCTGAGACAGATGTGCCCTAAGCCACCCAAGGAAAGGAACTGGGGTGAACGTGGTCAGACTGGTGGCCATGCAGGTAGCCACCCAAGGAAAGGAACTGGGGTGAACGTGATCAGACTGGTGGCCATGCAGGTCGAGGAGGCAGGGGGCGTGTAAGCCAAGGAATTGCTCACCTAGCTGTGGCAGATGAATCTCAGACAACTGCTGGGATGACTGGAGCTGAAATAACAGAGCTAGAGGAACTATGTCTGTTCAAGCTTCAGGCTGAGAAGTCGAAGGGCAAGGGACAAGTCACCCAGGATCTAGCTACCACTACATATTTTGGTAACTTTATTGGTTATGCTCATGCGACCAAAGGTACACAGGTTCAGACACTTAAATCCACTAAAACTCATGTTGATTGGATCATAGACTCAGGTGCGTCTAGGCATGTCACAGGAACATCTAGTGAGTTTGCATTATATTATCCGAGTAAACATATGCATCCTGAGACAGTTCAGACTGCTGATGGGACATCCCAACCCATCAGGGGTACTGGCTCGGTCCATTGCACTTTATCTGTTACCTTGTCATCTGTATTGCATGTTCCTTCGTTTCCAGTTAACTTACTCTCAGTTAGCTTTCTCATTGACCAATTAAATTGCACCGTGTTATTTGATCGAGATTTGTGTCTTTCAAGAGAAGGAAACAGGGAGGAGGATTGGGACTGGCATCAGACGTGATGGTCTTTGGTATTTGGACAGGGAGACTGCAATGATTGCTGCTGCTGTTAGCGGAGGGTCAGAGGCAGAAGCAATGCTTCAACATTGCCGGTTAGGGCATTTATCTTTTGAGAGTTTAAATACATTAGAACCTGAGTTAATGAAGAAAGTTGATAGAAAAGAGTTATTTTGTAATGCCTGTGAACTTGGAAAACATACTCGTTCTACTTATAGAATGATTGGTCTTCGAAGTTGTGAACCATTCGCACTTGTCCATTCTGATGTTTGGGGACCAATGTCCTACTACCTCCATCAGTGGTTTTAGATGGTTTGTTACTTTCATTGATTGTTATTCACGTATGACCTGGATATACATGATGAAGCAGAAATCAGATGTTTACAAATGTTTTCAAGATTTCTCGGCTTATGTGAAGACACAGTTTGGAGTGCAGGTGAAGATTCTTCGAACAGATAATGGGACTGAGTATGTCAATAAGGAGTTTGCAGCTTTCATCTCTAATCAGGGAATTGTTCATCAAACCACCTGCCCAGACACCCCTGCTCAGAATGGGGTGGCTGAGCGTAAGAACAGACATCTACTGGAAGTGGCACGCTCATTGATGTTGACAATGAATGTGCCTAAGTTTTAATGGAGTGAGGCTGTTATGACAGCAGCTTATTTGATCAACAGGATGTCATCAAGAGTATTAGGGATGAAGACACCATGTGAGATGTTTTTGGGCTCAAATGTTTTTGTTGTTTCACCAAGAGTGTTTGGATGCACATGTTATGTGAGAGATCACAGGTTGATGGTGAGTAAACTAGATCCGCAAGCAGTTAAATGTATCTTTGTTGGCTACTCATCAAGTCAAAAAGGATACAAGTGTTGGTGTCCCACTGAAAGAAGGCTGTTTGTCAGTATGGATGTGACTTTTCGGGAGTTTGAACCTTTTTATGGGGAGAAGACGGAGTTGAGTTCCTTGTTTGGAGATGGCTCTACTGATGCTAGTAGAGAGGGGGAGAACGAGAATGAGAATGAGAATGATATTGTGGTCGGGATGATTCCATGTCCTCTTGAGTCACCGAGTAGTGATGGTACATCGCCGAGTAGTGGTGGTGACTTAGGAGTTGGTAGTCAAAGTCAGGGGGAGCTGAGAGTATACACGAGGAGATAGAAACAGCAGCATGAGCCGTCTCCCGTGCTTGTGTCAGTACCCACAAATGTTGATGACCCAAGTCCCTCCTCTCCAGTGCCTTGCTCTTCTCCTCCACCTGAGTCGATAGGTAATGATTCCTTCCCTGATACCTCTGATACTCCTGTCTTGCCCCGCAGAACCTCTAGAGTCAATGTTGGAAAACCTCCAGCTAAGTTTGGTAATTGGGATACTGATATTGTGAATTACATTTCATATGCATCCATTCCACCTGCATATAAGTCATTCATTGCATCGTTGCATTCAGTGCCTGTACCTAACAACTGGCAGGTAGCTAAGCAAAGATCCTAGGTGGTTGAATGCCATGCACGAGGAATTCCAAGCCTTGAAGAAGAATGACACATGGGAGCTGGTACCTTTGCCAGCTGGGAAGCGTGCTGTTGGATGTAAGTGGGTGTATACGGTTAAGCAAACTCCAGAGGGCAAGATCGACAAATACAAGGCCAGATTGGTTGCTAAAGGCTACAGCCAAACATACGGCATTGACTATGACGAGACATTTGCTCCAGTAGCAAAGATGAGCACTGTTAGAGTGTTGGTGTCATGTGCTGCCAACTTTAATTGGCCACTATATCAGCTAGATGTCAAGAATACCTTTTTGCATTAAGATCTCCAAGAGGAGGTATATATGGAGATTCCACCAGGCTTCACTATTTCTCAAGTAGCTGGGAAGGTGTGCAAGTTGAAGAAGTCTTTGTATGGGTTAAAACAGTCTCCGAGAGCATGGTTTGATAGATTCAGGTTGGCAGCTTGTGGTATGGGGTACAAGCAGTGCAATGGTGATCATACTGTGTTTTACAGGCACTCCAAAACTCGTATCACTATCCTGGCGGTCTATGTTGATGATATTGTAATCACTGGAGATGACGCTGAGGAAATCCTACGGTTGAAGAAGAAATTGGGAGAGGAATTTGAAGTTAAAGATCTGGGGCAGTTTAAGTATTTTCTCGGAATTGAAATTGCAAGGTCGCGAAAGGGTATAGTACTTTCCCAGCGGAAGTATGCTCTAGATCTTCTCTCAGAGACAGGGATGTTGGGGTGCAGAGTTGCATCTACTCCTATCGAGCAGAATCATAAGATGTGTACTGAGGGTGGTGACCCGGTGAGTAAAGAGCAATATCAAAGATTAGTTGGACGACTTATATATCTATGCCATACGAGACCTGATATTACTCATGCAGTGAGTGTGGTGAGTAGATATATGCATGATCCCAGAGAGCAGCATATGGAGGCAGTTCGCAGAATTCTTAGGTACATTAAAGGAAGCCCAGGAAAGGGGTTATGGTTTAGGAGTTCTGGACATCTGAGAATTGAAGGCTATTGTGATGCTGATTGGGCGGGTTGTATGGATGATCGTAGGTCCACTACAGGTTACTGTGTATTTGTTGGTGGCAATCTCGTATCTTGGCGTAGCAAGAAGCAAGATGTGGTGGCTAGGTCTACTGCTGAGGCCGAGTACAAAGCTATGGCAGTTAGTCTATGCGAGTTGATGTGGGTCAAAAACATATTATCTGAGCTGCGCTTATTTAGAAGAAACTCCTTACAACTTTGGTGTGATAACAAATCGGCGATCAATATTGCAAACAATCCTGTTCAGCATGATCGGACCAAACATGTGGAGATTGATCGGTTCTTTATCAAGGAGCAACTGAATAGAAGAGCTATGTGAAATCAGAAGAACAGTTAGCTGATTGTTTAACAAAAGGATTAGGTTCTAGAGAGCATGATATCTTTTGTAATAAGATGGGAATGATTGATATCTATCGCCCATCTTGAGGGGGAGTGTTGAGTTATTTAGATAGATTAGGCTAATTAGTTAATATTGTAGGGGCCTATTTGTAAGAGTGCATTAATATAAAGGGTACCTCTTTGTGAGAAAAGGTAACCCTAATTTTCACCCCAAAACTCATCACTTATAGACAACCATGTTGGCTTGTCAGTATTACTGATGTGTTCTTGAGTCGGCGTCCTATGAGTTTGGCATGATGTCTTTGTTTCGTTGATCAGTATTGTTTTATTCATTTTGGAATGCGTAGATGACCACTACTTTTCATTTGATAAGGAAGCAACGTAGATATATAGAGCAAGCATGAAAGAAGCAAAACTTTTTATTTAATTTTCTTTAAATGGAAGACTTCCAGTGACTTGTTCTTGAAATGAAATCATGAAATTCAATCAGCAGCTGCTTGGAAGATAGAGTTTTCTTTGCAATCCACTCTCTGGTATCACTTGATGTTGACAATTTAATATGATATAAATAAATGTTAATTGTTTTTTTTCCTAGTCTGAATATGGTTGGAGTCATATGATTTTTGCAAAGTTTCTTTATGCTTAAAACTGCATCTGCATCACAACTGATAGGTTGTTTGTTAGTCTCAGTTGCATGTAGGTGTAGTAGATGTCAAATTTCTAATCTTTAATTCTGGGAACCAGTGATCTGCACTGCAATTATATTAACTAAACACATTGCTAATCTTACTTGTCCTTTGTCGCATTCCCTACTGTGACAACAATAATTGAAATGATAATCTGATTTACTTGTCATGTAGGACAATATTATGCTTTTTAAGAATATTAAGCATAAATGATATAATCCTAATGAAAGATAACGAGCTACTTTCTTTTCTGCAGTCTGTTCAGGATATACTTACTTTGCATTGTCTTTTGTTCATGATTTTGGTGACAGTTTTTGAGTGTTAATTAGATACTGCTAACACTATGATTAATTCTTGCGTTGCAGGACTTGGTGAAGAAATATTCTGAATTTATTAACTTCCCCATATCTCTTTGGGCTAGCAAAGAGGTAGATGTTGAAGTTCCAGCTGATGAAGATGACTCCAGTGACGAAGAGGAAAAATGTAGCTTTAATACTGCTTTATACTTTTTTTAATCCTTTGCATAAGAATTCGTACAAACTAGAGTTGTGAACTATTCTGCTTTTGAGGGGATATAGTTGTAACTTTCTCTCTCTCTTTTTTCTTCTTTTTTTTTCCTGCTTGAACAGCTGAATCTCCCACATCAGAAGAGGAAGAGTCGGAAGAGTCAGAAGAAGAAGATGGTGAGAAAAAGCCCAAAACAAAGACAGTGAAAGAAACAACCTACGAGTGGGAAGTATTGAACGATGTTAAAGCTATATGGCTTCGCAGTCCTAAGGAGGTTACTGAGGAAGAATACAACAAATTCTATCACTCCATTGCTAAGGTACAATATTGAACATCATTCTTATAAATAAAATTGCTGGACATTGGAAGACAATGTATACTACCTTATTTTCTTACCAAAAAAAAAAGAAAAAAATTCCCACATTTACAGTCATTTGATTTACCCTTTGCTTTACCCTCATTTTATATGTAGGATTTTAGTGATGAGAAGCCCTTAGCTTGGAGCCACTTCAGTGCTGAAGGTGATGTGGAGTTCAAGGCAGTGCTTTTTGTGCCACCAAAGGCTCCTCATGATTTATATGAGAGTTACTACAACTCCAACAAATCTAACTTGAAGTTGTATGTCAGACGAGTCTTCATCTCTGAGGAATTTGATGAACTTCTTCCCAAGTATCTGAGCTTTTTGATGGTAATAATCATGGCCGTTAATAGCTTGTAGCAATTGGCAGCATTCTGCATTTGGTGGCTCATGTTATTAAAATTTTCTTCTTTTCAGGGTCTTGTTGACTCCGACACATTGCCTCTTAATGTATCACGAGAAATGCTTCAGCAGCACAGCAGTCTTAAGACTATCAAGAAAAAGCTAATCCGCAAGGCTCTAGACATGATACGGAAAATTGCTGATGAGGATCCTGATGAATCTAGCGACAAAGATAAGACAGGTACAATAATTGATACTACTTTATGTTCTCAATCTATTTTGAAGGTTTTTTTTCCTTTCCTTGTTCTAATATCTTCTCTTTATTACTGATGTAAAATCAATAGATGCAGCAAGTGAGAATGATGAGAAGAAAGGGTCATATGCCAAGTTTTGGAATGAATTTGGGAAATCCATCAAGCTTGGAATAATTGAGGATGCCCAAAATAGAAATCGTCTAGCGAAGCTTCTCAGATTTGAAAGGTGAACAATCTAAGCAATATTACTCTTGTACTGACAGAGCATCTTGAACTGGAATTTTGATGTCATAATTTTTATTTTAGCACCAAATCTGAAGGCAAACTTACCTCACTCGACCAGTACATCTCGAGAATGAAGTCTGGGCAAAAAGATATTTTCTACATAACAGGAAGTAGCAAAGAGCAATTGGAGAAGTCGCCATTCCTAGAGAAGCTTAAAAAGAAGAACTTTGAGGTATCATGAATTTAGAATAAAATATATTTAGTTGGCTCATGAGAAAATACACAAGCTGCTTGCTTATTCATGCAGTTTCGCAGAAGAATTTTCTCGCACATGAACATTTTTATTTGGTAAAACAATATACTTGCAGAAAAAAGTTGTCGACGCATGCGTAGATCGCACTGAAACAACACACATCGACAATAACCATATACATGCAGAAAAAAGTTGTCCATGCATGAATAAATTGCACTGAAACAACACATCGATGATATGTATGCCTATCTACTCATGCATCTTGTCACTTTAGAACATCTCAAATTAGAACATCATGAATATGTGCAATTTGCTCGTTTTATTCTTAGACAAACAACATTCCATGTCATAAGCATTTATTGTTTCAAATGAGCATCTTCTGCGTTTGACAAATGGGCACTTTTTCAGCACTCGTGTTATAGCATTATGTACATTGAATTGTTCTATCATCTGCATGGTTATGAGTATGGGTGTGGGTACGGGACATTACAAATTTGTAAAAGGTATGGTACGAGACACATCTCAAGCTCGTGGGATATAATCATAGTTATGAGCTATATATGTAAACAACCCTTTTAAGTCCTAGTTCTTAAGGCGGAAATGAACTCGACTCTTATTCAGTAAGTTATAAAAATGGATGTGAAGTGGTAGGATATATGTCCAAGAAGCGTATGATGAGTGTTTTAAATTAAACATGAATTGTATAATTGAGTATTGGTCTAAATAAATATATGCATATATTTAAGGACTGTCCAAGAAGTGTTGGGTGCGGGTACGGGTATGACTCCATATCAGAAGTATACAGGTAGCATAGCGTCTAACCCTACTGTATGAAGGAGCAACTCTCAAGTTTCTCCAAAAATAAGAAATAACTGAAGATGATGGATTGCTATTAGTCTCCTTGAAAGAAATAATTCTCAAGTAGGGATGCAGTTTATAAATTTATGAACTTGTATCTTCTATGTTGGCATCTGTCTGCACCCTGTATTATTTTTCCTCTACTAGCTTCAAGTCCTAATAATTCTTCTTCTTTGCAGGTTATTTACTTTACGGATCCAGTTGATGAATACTTGATGCAATACCTCATGGACTATGAAGACAAAAAATTCCAAAATGTATCAAAGGAAGGTCTCAACCTTGGTAAAGATTCGAAGATCAAAGACCTTAAAGAGACATTCAAGGAGTTAACCAAATGGTGGAAAGATGCCCTCTCAACCGAAAATGTTGATTCTGTAAAGATAAGCAATCGTTTGGATGATACTCCTTGTGTTGTTGTCACTTCAAAATATGGATGGAGTGCCAACATGGAAAAGATAATGCAGTCTCAGACTCTTTCTGATGCTAACAAGCAGGCTTACATGCGAGGCAAGAGAGTTCTGGAGATAAATCCTCGACATCCCATTATCAAAGAACTCCGTGAGAGAGTTGCAACAAATCCCGAGGTACTAAAATTTGGCCTTTTATTGTTAGTCCCTCAAATCATTGAAATTTCTATTAGGTCCCACAGTTTCCAAGTTATCTTGAAATTAGTCCCTCTAATCATGGAGATTGCTATTAGGTCCCCCAATTCTAAAGTTATTTTGAAATTTGTCCCTCCAACCAAAAGTGGAAGTAGCCATTATAGAGGGGTTGAGTTAACTTTTTAGGGTTAACTGCAGATACGCCTCAGTACCATGGGGGTGTACACCCACTTATATTCCCTAAACTATCAACAATTTAACACGTATACCCCCTAAAACTAGGACTGCTTACTTTTTGTCCTTAATTTAGAGGAAAATTAGGTTTTTTTCTTTCGGTTAAACCTGAAATCAAAAGTTAATTTATCATCATGTGATTCCCACATGGCATTTCAATCCAGAATAGCGATGTATGAAGTTCAAGGGGGCATGACTGCTAATAAAGTAGTTTATAGGGCAGTAAGTGGTTATTACTCTCACTAATAGCTGAATTCAATACTAGTTAAGGAAAATCTTTTATCCCTGTATGATTTCTATGAGTTTTGCTAGAATATAAAATTATGCATTCTCACCAAAACGTCGAAGTTTTGGTGTAGTACTGGGGTCCTTTGACACAGTATCCGAGCAACTTAGGTTTGAAACCCAGGTTCGAATCCTACTGTTTTAAAAAACCTCCGCTTAGTCCGCTTAGGCCTTCGCTTAGGCCTAGGCGGTACCTAGGCCGCCTAACTAGCGCCTAGCGCGTAGGCGGTATTTAGGATGCCCACCTAGATTTAACGAGCGTTTAGGGGAGCATTGTCTGCTTACGTGGATTGCACCCTGTAGGCCTTAGTTGTGATTTTATGTGTTGTAGCCTACACGTCCTCCAAACTCCATTAACATCCAAATATGAACACCTCCACTACCTCCTCCGACCTTCAACAAAACCTCATCGACCACCACTTAAATGAAGAAAGAAATCCGTCTAGACACCAGTCCGACATCTAAGCTTTCTGTAACATTGACATTCACTATCAATTATTGTAATTAAAAATAAAAAGAAAACATCTTAGGCTTTAGCCTTGTTAATTATTATTTTGGCTATTTAGTATCTAAGTATGCATGATTTATTGTGGAACTAAAATTGCTATCTTTTTTTTTTAAATTTTATATGAATTTAATACATATTGTAATTTTAGTTGAGATGAACTTATAATTTGAGTTGAGAAGTATAAACATACAAAGAGCTATTGTAATTGGTAAACCAAGCAATTTAGTTAATAATGTTGGTATTTTAGTATTTATGCATCTTTGATTGAGTATATATATATATATATATATTTATCTTCAAGTATCACAATTAAAAAAATAAAAAATAAAAAAACGCCCAGAAACCGTTTAGGCGCCCGCCTAGGTGACTAAACGCTGGGCGCCAAGTCCGATGCTTAGAAGCGTTCATCGTTTAATGTAACATTGTCGAATCCTACTGGCCACGAATTTCCAGAGGATTTTGAAAAAAATGTTACCTACCCATAAGTCTGACTTTCGGGCCGTTAAAGCCGTCAACCTGTGGGAACCTATGGGGGGCATGTTAGGGTGCAAAAATTATGATCCTCACCACAACCTCGGACTTTTGTTACAGTGGCAGGGTCCTTTGACAAGTTTTATATATAGGTATAAATGGTTATACCCTCATTCTAATAACCTAATTCAATGTTATGAAAGAAAGTCTTTTATCCATATTTGCCTGCTACTAGTTATTCACATTATTTGGAATACTTTTTGCAGGATGAAAGTGTAAAGCAGACAGCTCGACTAGTCTACCAAACTGCTCTCATGGAGAGCGGTTTTATGCTCAGTGATCCCAAAGATTTTGCTACAAGTATTTATTCTTCGGTAAAGGCGAGCCTAAATATTAGTCCCGGTGCCTCAGTTGAAGAGGAAGATGATACAGAGGAAACTGAGGTTGAGGAAAAGGGATCAACTTCTACCAAGGATTCTGATACCGATACCATTAAAGAAGAAACAGAGGAGGATTCTTCATTCAAGGATGAGTTGTAGTTTGTTATTAGAGTGAGATCCTTTTTTCTAGAAGATTTTGGTAACACTTCTACGAGTTGGAAACTGAACAGAACTGGTGTCATTTGGTCAGTGTTGTATTGTAATGATGAATGCTTCAGATTAATGCTTTGTAGTTAAACTGAACTATTATGGGCGCGGGCGTGATGAAATCGCCTTTAAATAGTTTTAACTATCAAGCGGTGTTCGCTGGGTTCTTTACTTTGTCGCGGGTAAATAATGAAATCGTCTTCAAATCCCTGCGTCTTGTTCTAGTTTCTTTTGCAACCCAAACTACAATATTACTGCACATAAGAAACATACAAATCAATTTGACTCCTGATAGGTCTCAATAATGCAGCGCGTGCCTAGAGCAGGAAGTATACTGTACCCTTTGAATCCGGCCGCAGTGAAGTGCTTCTTCCTTTTATCCTCAGTTTTTTGCTTGCCTGTGACATGAACCATCATTTGCATACGGAAGTAAATCTGTGTTTGGTTGAGCTTGCTTGCATCGATAACTTTGTCGATTATGATCGCTTCCCCTCCCTTTTCCTTGTTAGGGATTCCCTCCTTGCATTTCGTAAGTATTTGAGGCATTCCTCGTTGCTCCAAGTCATCAAGACCCATTTAAAATAAAATAAAATAAAATAAAACAAATTAAATAAAAGAAATCAGTGAACGATAAATAATTAGAACTGGATTGGAAGAGTGGCAATTTGAATCCTATCTGACAGACTAATCCGGCACAGAATCAACAAAGACATAACTACGTCTTGCTGCCATTGGATCTATAGCCGTGTTCGGCAACCACTCAAAAACTAAGCTAGAATTGATCCTATCCTAGTTTTATCCTAACTAGGTTAGGCATATACAAAGGGGGGAGGGAGAGTGAGTCAACTATGTCTTTATTGCGACTGTTCAATCTGAATTTGTCCAATGAACTATTCCCCTTTTTTTACTATTTATGTTACATACTTGACAATGATGGTTATTGTTCAACTCTTGGTGAAAACACCAATGTGTAACTGTAGACTGTAGACTGTCGACGAGAAACTGTAGACTATCGATGAGCTCAACTCATCATCGATGATTAGATAGATTATATCGAGAGCTTTCCAAAAAGCTATTATAATAGTGATTTGGATAACCGACTCAAAAATTATGGTCCGTGCAAGTTTCAGCCTAAGTGTATATTTCAATCCTGTTGCTAACTGTTTAGATGTTGTTTAACTAAAACATTCATAGCCCGAGCTATACATATCCAAATTGAGTTCCATTCATTCCTATAGATTTGTGACGATGAGACAAAAACTCCCATATACTCAAAAAAGATTTTCAGTCTTGGTATTTTTCTAGAGTCAACAATGATTAACTTATCATCTGTCACTTTTAAATATCAAACTTGACTCTAGCTTCTTGTAGCATGTATAAAACATCTCAAACATACATTAGATCAACATGAAGGCTTTTTTATTCATTAAACTAAGTCGATTGCATGGGCACAGTCTTAACAATCTTCCCCTTTTGATAGTAACAAATCGGAAATTAAAATTACAAGTACAGACGTTTGAGATGCATAAATTATACACATTCTCAGTTTCATGATTTATGAAATATGATAAGCTCCCATTGCATATGTGCGTATATGAAATATGAGATACATGCTTATCGAGCTCCTCCTACAACTGGGCTTCTCCCCTTCTCCCAAAAAACAAATTCTTCCAAGATTTTCTAAAATAATTCTCAAAATTTACAAAAGTCGCATGTTTCACATAAATTTTAATATTTCTCCCCTTCTTGTTATTATCAAAAGCTAAAAATGCATAAATGGTTACACTTTATACTCAAAAAATTTAGATAAAATTCATCCAAATGTGTAAAGAAGAGAAAGACACACCGGTTCACAAGAAAAATTTATACAAAAATAGCAAAAGAGATTAAAATCTAATCACAAAACATTTTGAATACGAGGGAATTCAAATAAAAAATCACAAACAAAATGATTAAATATCATTATAAAGTATGTAAAATAAATAGTTAAAAAAGTATACTAGTCTATTGTGTAGAAATGTTGAAAACAACGAAAAAGTTCAGAAAAAAAAAGCAGGAGACACTTGGGTGCTGTCCGGTCGACCGCAACAACATGTGCGGTCGACCGGAAACGTGCACACTACATGGTCTGTTTTTGGATTTCTGGCCGGTCGATCGTGGCGTCAAGTGCGGTCGACCGCAGACCTTGTAATTGATTTTTGAGAATCTGTCATTCTGTCCAGTCGACCGCAGTGTCAAGTGCGGTCGATCGTGACTCTGGTATGGGCCTGCGCTTGGTTTCCTGATCTGTTTGAGTTTTATATTTGATATAAATAGGAACACGTTTTTTAGGGTTCTTTAAGGCAAAAAGAGAGATTTTTGAGCTGTGTATTTGGGAGATTTGGTGAGAGATTTGAGAGCTTTGTTTGAGAGATTAATGTGTGAGTTTTGAGTGAATTTGTAATCTTTATTTGTACTCTCTCTCTCTAATAGTAAAATCCATCCCCTCCTTGCCCCGTGGACGTAGGCAACTTGCCGAACCACGTAAAATCTGTGTCTTGTATTGTTGTGTTCTTGTTTTACCTATTGGTTGTAATTCTATCTCGTTTGTGTTCGTGCTCTTTCTGTTCTGCTGCGCACGATAAGTGGTACCAGAGCTTCGGGTTTGGCTTGGGGCTCATTTGGATGATTCTCTGGAAGATTCTCGTTTGAAGAGATTAGGTTATTGTAGGGTCGAAAAATTGAAGTTTGATTGATTTCTTGTTTTAAGAAATGGATTCAATCACTTAGTACGAAGCCTTACAATTACTCACACTCTCTCGATTACAGATAAAGAGAAGATTTATTCAGCTTCTCTTTTGTTTAAAAGTGGGTTCTTGATGGCGAAATGATACTTCCCTTGATGCTTGAGTCGAGATTACCTCCCTTTGACGATCAGAACGAGATTGCTGAAGCTTCTAATGCTCGTTAGACTATTAGAACCGAAGTTCGAATTCCAGATCTATACGCAGGAGCTCTGATCTCTGATGATTCTTGAAGTCCCAATTACCAAAAGTCCAAAAGTTCCCAGCCCTTTCCTCTGTAACCATCCATAGCTATTTATAGGGTTTAAGCACGTAACCGACGTGCTAAGATCAGTAGAGGGGCATAACTGCCTCCTCCAAATCAGCGCACGTCATAACGTGCTCCCAAAGATTAGCCCACGTGGCTGACTAAATCTTCAGAGCTGTTACAACTAGATCTCATGTGGATGACGAACCTCGTCTTTAATTAAAACGGGGTTCGTCAAGTTGAACGAGCCCCGATACGTAGCGAGGTTCGTCTTACAAGGCAAACTTTGTAGTATAGTGTTTGCGTCAAAAGTTGACTTTGTTATGGAATTCATTATATCTTCGGTCAATTACAACAAATTCAAAGAAATAGTCTTTTTATAAGACCTCTTTTACACAACAAAATGAAAATTACAACTCTTGAGAAACAAACGCAGGATCGTTGTTTGGATCGCTGCTTGCGTGAGATCTTTGCCTGTGCCGGGAGCGTTTTGACTCGTGGACCACCGAATCACAGATTCTGATTGAACCGTGAGGGGTTTAATGATTCTTCCTTCGTTTATCGAAGTAAGAATTTGAAGCGAATATCTTATCGATGTAAGATATTCACTCTTCTAAAGATCAAGTCAGAGCTTAGATCTCTAGGAATCGTCAAAAGCTTCTTGAAGATGTTTGTGAAAAAGGAAGACTCTCTCTTTTGCTCTAATTCACCAAAAGCTTTAGCCTTTTCTGCTCTAATCTGCTCTCCTCCCCTTATTTCGTGTCTAGGGAGGTATTTATAGGGGTAGCAATGCATAACAGTCGAAATGGAAGCGAAATAACCAAAAGCTTCTTGAGGATGTTTGTGAAGAAGGAAGACTCTCTCTTGCTCTAATTCACCAAAAGCTCAAGTTTTTTTTGTCTTAATTGCTCTCCCCAATCTACCCTCCTCTCCTTATTTCGTGCCTAGGGAGGTATTTATAGGGGTATGAGTGCATACCAGTTGAAATAGAAGCGAAATAACCGATCAGACGAACCATCTTTGGCCGCTGTAGTCTATACTGCCGCGGCTATTGGCGCGGCAGTGTGGACTACCGCGGCCAAAGAGGCAGTTAATAGCACGTTCCATAGTGCTTGAAACCGTTCTCCCACGACCTTTAACCACCTTTTTCGTGGTTTAACTGCTTGTCCATATCAGCACACGTTCTATCTCTGATATGCCGCCACGTGGGCTTCAAATAATCATCGTATAACTGTCTTGTAAC